TAAAACAAGATCCGTTATATTTTGCCAACGAAACCGAAACCAAAACGCCGATAAACGAGTTGGCCAGAATAAGTGAGTGGCGCGCTATGTCAAACATTGAGCTACCTCGTTTCTAGCCATGAAGGCTGCGCTTGCCATTACAACACTCGTCACCAACGGAAGTTGATAAATGTTATGCAGGGACTAGCGCCACTAGAATCGTTCTTATAGACGGTATATTTGGGGTACGTCTCCTGGAGTTTGTCGGTTGCACGCGATCATCGGTGCTTTGGTTTTGGTTCCGCCTGTAAAATGGTTAGAATTCGATAACTCTAGAAAATTACTGGTGACTCTCAGTTTACTTAATTTACTCTCTTTTCTAACATTAGCTTTAATTATTTCAACTTCCTTAGGTATTATCTGGTAATCTGCCGACACACACACAAGCACATATTTGAAAGAGGCAAGCAAACGTCGCGTTCCCCTTGATCTTGAGTATCTGCTGGCACATTTCTTAAAACTCCCAATGTATACGACAACCCTATTGTGCCGCAACAGTTACCAAGCAACCGCAAATGAGACGAAGTGTTTTCTCTTGATTTTTTTTTTCTTTGCAGCCAAAAGAAAAAGAAACCCCCCTGAAGCCCCGGGAACCCTTATTGCCCGCTTTGGACATAGAGCAGCCGATTGAATAAAATGCTACGCCAACGACGCCTGAAGCTTTCTATCAGCAAAAAGTGAGAGATACCGAAAAGATTTGAGCAACTTAAGAAAAAGGGGAAGACGTTGCAACAAAGCAAGCGAAAACTTTTAAAGCGCTTCGATGACTCCAGGGAACTTGTGAAAGAGTTGACAGACAGGAGACTTCTGTCAGAAAAGGGACTCGAACTTTTCCAAGTCACCTTCTCCTCGGACATCTCGCAGCTGCCTAGCAGAACAACCAAGAAAGGAAGCACCGAACATCCCCCCGAATTGCGAGACTTTGCTTTGACTTTACATTTTTATTCATCAGCCGCGTATGAGTACGTTCGTGCTAAGTTTAATAATGCATTGCCACCACCAAGCACCCTGCGAGAGTGGTACAAGGCCGTTAATGGAGAACCAGGCTTCACAGTGGAGTCGTTCAGTTTCCTCAAAAGTGTGGTGCAGAACAAGAAAGAACCAATAGTAGTGGCACTTATAGTAGACGAGATGTCCATAAGAAAACACATTCAACTGGTCAGAAACAAAGTTCTGGAATATGTTGACATAGGCACAAAAATATCGGAAGACAGCTTGCCAGAAGCAATTAGTGCATGTGTGTTCATGCTTGTAGCGCTCAACTTGAGGCTTAAAGTACTACTGGAATATTTTTTTCGTAGATTCTTTGTTGGGCTCCGAAAGAGCAAACTTAATCAAAGAGTGCATTGCAAGGGTAACATAAGCAGGTGTGGATGTTGTGTCCCTGACGTTTGGCGGGGCTTCTTCCAACTTAACAATGGCCCGCTGTCTTGGTGCTGATCTCTGGTACCAGTCACCCGATTTCGCGACAAGTTTTGACTGCTCTACGGACTCGTCGAAGAAGGTCTCGATCATTCTAGACCCTTGTCACATGCTCAAGCTAGTTCGTAACTGCCTCGCATCGGTTGACTACCTTGTTGATGGTCAAGGCTCGCACATCAAGTGGTCCTACATCGAAGCACTAGAAGTCATGCAGCGAGAAGAAGGCAAGCACCTTGGAAATAAGCTCACAAAAGTTCATGTAGAATGGGAAAAACAGAAAATGAAAGTAAGGCGTGCTGTGAAAACGCTCAGTTCCTCAGTGGCAGACGCTCTCGACTTCTGTGAATTTACTTTGAGATTGCCATGATGCCAAAGTGCACGTGCCACAGCAAGGTTCAAACGAATTTTCGACAGGCTGTTTGACTTGCTTAATTTGATAAATCCTCTTGCCAAGTCTTTTAAAGCTGCACTACGCAATGAAAAGGCTGCATCATGGAAGGCTTTTCTGCAGGAAGCTGAAAATTATATCACTAAGCTAACTTGCGCAAATAGGCGCCTTGTCATTGAGAGCCTGAAGAAAACCGGATTTGCCGGCCTTCTCATTTGCATTCGCAGCGCTGCAAATTTCTTTGACCATCTTGTAGACATAGGGAAGAAGAAGTATTTGTTGACCCACAAGATATCGCAGGACCACTTAGAAATTTTCTTTGTGTGCATCAGAGGTAAAGGGGGTTTCAAGAACAATCCAATTGCCTCTCAGTTCACAGCAGCATACAAGGGTCTACTCATACAAACAGAGGTTATGGCATCTGACTCTGGCAACTGTGCTGCGGATGTTGTAACAGTGCTGGCTGTCAAGTGCCATCAGTGAAGTCAAATCAACTACAGTCACCCACCAGAGAAGATGTTCAGTCTTTAAGCCGTTTGATGACAACCATAAGTACACCTATCGCGTAGACCTGCCTCGGAGCCTGTCACGAGTTGTTGAAGCTGTTGTGCCGTATGTTGCAGGATTTGAGGCGCGCAAAGTTGCAGACTGCACGTCTTGTGAAGAGTGCGTGACTGCGCGGCAGTCGAAGGAACTTCCAGCACTTACTCAAGCAAAAGGCCGTGGTGGCCTGGTGGTACTATCTAAGGACGTGCTGTACATTTGAGAGGCTGCTGAAAAAAGTATCCGAGTTCTGCAGGCAGAGCACAATGATGTAAGAGCATTGAACAAAAGGTGTACACCACTGATCTTGTAAATCCTAACTATGGCTCTCGAGACGTCGTGGTTTGAAGAGCTTGAGCATCACCTGCTTGACTGTGACCCTCTAGATAACCACATATACAAGCTGTCAAAGATGATTGCGCAATACTATATCAAAATCCGAATACATCACATCACCAAAGAAACTAATAGAGAAAATTGCAAAGAGAGAGTTCGAACACTACTATCAAAGATTATAATATTCAGCAACCAATGAACAATCAATGTGTTACATTTCTGCAACTATAGAGGTGTCGTATTAGTATTTTGCAACACTTTTTTTGGAGCTTGACATTTGTACGCATTGCATCGCAATGTTTGATATATGTAGTATTTTTTGTTTATCTGTTCCCTGTTCTATTTATTTGCGTGAATGCGAAGATATGTACACGCAGTGTGAGTGAATGTTCAATAAATGTCTTCCGCAGCGATAATGTGTGGCGCACTACCTTAACAGAACTTCGCAGGTTATCCTCCGGCTTTGCCAAGAAAAGCCGATCACGATGCTGTACGTATTTATAATTTTTGGATTGTCTCTCATGTATAAATGACCTCGCAATTGTTTTAGTGCTTCAAATAAGCTGTCCAACAGTGCATATATATATATATATATATTATATATATATATATATATATATATATATATATATATATATATATATATATATATATATATATAAAATAAAGGAAAGAAGTTTATACCTAAGGGCTCGTTTTTCCGTGTTTTAACACAATATTAATGAGATCTAACAGACAGCAATGCCAAGGAATGTAAATAAGAAAAAAAGTGGATCAAAAAATAACCAGCCGTGAGCAGGGATATATATATATATATATATATATATATATCCCTGCTCACGGCTGGTTATTTTTTGATCCACTTTTTTTCTTATTTATATATATATATATATATATATATATATATATATATATATATATATATATATATATATATATATATATATATATATATATATATATATATATATATATATATATATATATATATATATATATATATATATATATATATGCGTGTGTGTGCGCATTCACTTATAAATTACAGACGTGTACAAGTGAACAATTATTGAATCAAGGTTGGCGTGGCTGAACCGCCAAACCCTGTCAACAATACGTGCAGCGCTATGTTGTAGTGTTACTTTTTCACACCTCGCGCGTTTTTAACAGGGACGAAACAAAGGGAAAAAGCACAATATCCGCGCTGTCTTGTGCTTTTCTATTCGTTTACTTCCGCGCTGTGCTTGACATAAATGACAACCAACCGAAACATGCATCGTTCTCAGCAAATATTGGCGTGATAGATGTGTGCCTAATGAAGTGAATAAGTGTTTTTCACATTAGCTTGTAGTTCCTCTTTGAACCCTGTAACTATTTCATTGCAAAAAAAACCTAATTCCAAGCAACACAAATGTAATACAGTGCACCAGCAAGCTCGATATGCGAAGCATCCCACAACAACAGATCATTGTGAAAACAAGCAGCTGGCAAGGGGTGCATGAAATAATTTGTTTAATTAACAAGAGGCATTTATTTGTTGGTGTAACCTAAAAGTGGTTTCCATCTCTTTTTTTTTTATTGTAGAACTGCAAACCGACGCGCGCAACGTATTCCACCTTGTTTTTCCTCTAGCAATATGGCCGCCGGCGGCTTCACTTGTTCCCACGCTTGTTCCCGTTGGCGGTGGTCGGGATTGCCACTCCAGAGGTTCGATAACCTCCTTAGTCGCAATGCATTGGGATAGGATAGGAAGGCCTCTCCTCAGTTTTTCCTTCCTCCATGCTTTTACCTTTCCTTCCTCCGTGAATGTAATGATGCTCGCTCACTTTGTACGTCACGGTCCCGTAAGAGCGTGTGGGTTTACGCATTTGGTATCGCCACCAAAAGTGACCGAATTTTACGTCTCAGCTCAAATTTCAGAAATATAAAAGCAATAATAATATTTTTGCTGTCTGAACTTCTTGAAAGCCTTTTATTTAAGTCCGCACACAAAAACAACCGTGAAAATGCAAAAAGTCCCAAAAGCATTTGCTTCTTTGATGCTGGCTGTCAGACGGTTATCTCGGTGGTCGTGTAAAGCTTTTGCCTTGCCTTTGAACTGCTATTTTTACAAAATTTACCAGCAAATAAAACAATAAAAAATATTTTTAGTGTAGTGATAAATAACAGCATCAACACGATCGCTTGTTACCAAATAAAATATAAAACTAAGCAAAATTTTATTGCACTCAAGCCATTTCAAGCCAAGTCGAGCTTGTTGCCATGCCTGAGAAGCACGTGTTTGACGGAGGGAAACAAACGGCACGGTTGCAGTGCCTGGCAACTCAAGTTGTTTTCAGGTGTGCAGAGATGGAATGACCCGTCGTCACATCGGTCGCCTCCTCAGTCATTGGAGCAAAAGCAGAGATGGATCCAGTGATTGAGGAGTTACCCACCGATCACGAAATCAGCGTTACGTCGTGTGTTGATGCCGTGACAACCGAAAAGACGCACCTCGAAGTTGGCGAGTCGTCCAACGGTCGCGAACATTCGTTGAGCGGCTTTGAGTCGCAGGCTGGAGACGCTCGGGCAATGCAGAACGGAAGCAACGGCCACTTGGACATCGTTCCGCTGGTGACGGCATCGTCTGTATGCGATGGCATTCCTGTGGACATTACAATGCAAGCTGATGGCGAGAAGCCATCGGCTGACGGAATTGGTTCTAACAACAACATAGACTCGGAGGGATTTTCGCAACAGGTAATTTGGTTGCATGTTGACAGTGCCGGGGGTAAATCTTTGAATAACAGCGACAGCATAGAACCAGACATCGTAGACATGGTACGTGATATCGTGAGCCGTATCTCCAACTGCATCGAAGACGTTGAAACCGTGTCGTGTTCATCTATGGACACCGATGCGCTAAAGCAGCCCGTCGATGTGGTGGATAGCAGCGCAGACTCGCCCAGGAAAGTGCAAGTTCTCTCCAAAGCGCCCCGGGTACCGTACCGAGACAACGAGTACACGTCAAGTGACAGCTCGTCGTCCTCTTCATCCTCCGAAAGTGACACCGAAGTCGTAACGCCTATGCGGCGCGGCGCTCAAGAAGGAAACGACTCCGACTGCTGCTCTGACGGCGGCGAAGTTGGCAGCCAGCGGACGACGACCAAACCACAGAGTCAGGGCCGCGGTAGGACTCGAAACCGTGGCATCAAGACCCCAGGCGAGCTCGACATCGATGACCTGCCTCCCATCGAGGACTTGCACATCACGTTGCCTCGCACCGAGCTCCGGCAGGCGGGCCGCGTCAAGCACGCCGTTGACCAGCTGCTCGTGGTGGAGAGCGAACGGGGTCAGCCCGTGCTCGACCTGGACTCGGTGTTGTTCCGGGCCGACGGCACGGCGCTGGGGCGTGTCTTCGACGTGCTGGGTCCTGTGGTGGCGCCCTACTACACGGTGCGCTTCAACACTGCCCAGGAGCTGACCGAGCGTGCCCTGGAGCCGGGCGAGCCGGTGCTGTACGCCCCGTTGCACGCGGAGGTGACGCAGTACGTGCTCGAGTCAGAGGTCCGCAAGCAGCGCGGCTCGGACGCCTCGTGGGAGAACAACAATGAGCCGCCGCCCGAGCACCTAGATTTCTCGGACGACGAGCAGGAACGCGAGATTCGCAAGCAGCTGCGCGCTGCCCGAACCGCGTCGTTCAACGCCAAAGGCACGGGCGACCCTGCTGGCAGCGACCAAAGACCTCGTGGGGGTTCGAGGGGCCGGGGAAAAGGCAGAGGTGTGCCCAGGGGCGTCCACAACCGAGGGCAGCAGCCGGAGTCGACCAACGGGGCTGCGCATATGCGCAGCGAGACACCTGCGAGGTCTGATCAGTTTTACGATAACCGCAGTAGGCCTCAGTGGCCACCTTCGTGGAGCCCGCAGCAGCACTGGCACAGTCGTGAGGCGCCGACAATGTTTCAGCCTAACCCACCACCTCCTCCATCATGGCCTGTGAACCCGCAGGGTAACGACCGGGTCCCGAACATGTGGAACAGCCCGCCCCCTTCTTTGCCCAGGCTTCCACCACTTCCCTGGCAGCACGGTGGGCCATGGCCGAACAGGCCTCCTATGTTTCCAGACTTGAGAACCCCACCTCCCAACTTTGGTCGTGCAGTGCCACCACCTTCTCATTCTCAAGCACCTTTCCCAAGCCCCCACGGACCTCATGCCAACACGCCTGTGGGTAACTCAAGCTACCAGCCAGCTGGCACAGCAAGCCCACACACTCCAAGTTCTCTACTGTCACCTGTTTACAATAGCACGGGGCAAAGGGTCCCCTTGTATGATCCTGTGCCAGACCTTCAGCGCATTCTTGCCACACCACCACCTCCACAACCCCCACCGAGATGCTAAGGAACAGTTTTATAACATGCTGTTGTTATCAATGTGGTGCATGTGTTCCATTGAAGATACTTGCTCTCTTTTCATATTAGTGAAGTAACCATGCCTAACTGTTTGATTTGGTGTTTTCAAGACCTTTATGGCACAAACACTACCTACTGAACTTAAGACCTGCAATGATGTGCCACTCTAATATGGATGTTTTAGTTTGTCCTTTTTTGGCTCTAGGGACGAAACGTACAAGAGAAACATGGGGCTAGTCATCACTTGCACAGTGTCATTTGCTTCAGCTAGTTTCTATGTTTGCAGCAATGTTTTAACATGTGCAAAGGGCATTAGGGGTCATGTTTACCAAACAAGAAAAGAGGGTGCATTTCAGTCAGGATAAGGTAGAAGGAATGTTGCACGTCAGCAAGACGTGTACATTCAGCTGGTGGTAATGTCCTTGGGTCCACAAAAGAGAGAGAGAGAAATATAAAAATAGACTCTTAGGATGGAATGGAATAAGTAGAATGGAATAATGTTGAAATATAACGAATTACTAGATATACTCGGTCTAGATGAGAAAGAACACTGCAAACATGCATTTGATGATGATGTTGATGATGAAAACTTTATTTTGGTCTAGAAAAGACGCCGGGGAGACCCCATCCCACCCGGCTAATCCTACGTAGCCAAGCCGTCAAGCTGTGCTTGATGGCCTGTTAACGGGCACTCTGGACGGCCAGGGTTTGATCGTTAAGTTCGGAGCTACGTTAGAGCGCTACCCAGTTGTCCTCGCTGAAGGCGGAGCCAATGGCTTCACATTTCCACAACACACGGTTAAATGTTGCTTATAGTTCACAGGCAGGGCAGTCCGCACTGGTATACCGTTCAGGGTAGATGGCATGAAGAATCGCAGGGTTAGGATGCACACTGTCTTGCAGTATTCTAAGGGTAACTGCGTGTGCCCTGCACAAGGCAGGGTGTGGGAGGGGAAATACCCGTCTTGACAGATAGAAGTGTTTAGTTATTTCCTCGAACGTTAGTAAGGGTTCCCTGCGAGGCAAAGGGACTGTAGAGGCGTCGGGTCAGTCAGCCCTTGCACTGCCTTGTGTGTGCTCTCATTAGGGTTAGAGGTAGACCCCTCAATCGACCCCAGGTGAGCGGGAAGCCAAGTGAGAAAAGGGGGTGGGATACTCATGACGCTTCGGAGAATGCAGTTGGCCTGAAAGGTTACCATCCTGGTTTCGTAGGCCTTGATAGCCTTGGAGTTGCTGTATATGGACTCTCTGCTACTATCTAGCATAGCCTGTGTGATTGCAACCTGTTCGGCTATCACGGGTTTCGATGTGCCTACTGTGGCAGAGCATGTGAGCTTGGAATTTTAAGTCGACAACGGACACAGCGAATGCCTCTTGTAGGACATATGGTGCAGCATCCATGAAGCTTGCATCATTTGGCTTACTACGGACGTGCCCGAGCGGAGCTCTACCCCTGGCCCAACGTTGAATGATCTGCGCAGGGCGCATATTGTGGGTAATGGGTGCGATGTGCAGTTGAGACCTGATGTCTCTGGGAATCCGCGTGGAATCAAGGCACTGGTCAAGGCATTGAGGCCCAAATCGTCAAGTATCTTGTGGCCCTATTTGGTTCCGGAAAGCCTGAGCAGCTGTGAGCGCTCTAGTGCCTTGATTATCTCTTTAAGTGTATTGTGAATACCAAACTTGAACAGGTTTTCAGTGCGAGTGCTTACAGCCAAGCGGAGCTGTAATATGCAGACAGCTGCCAACATCAATCGGCTCTATGCAGCATTCTTTTATTGATTGTGGATTGGACATAGTCGGAAATCCTATTATGCCATTCTCCTCTGCACTGCTCCAAAGATATCGTAACATTAAAAAGGAGGTCTATAACATGTTCTAACAGTTGTTCTTCGGTCTGATAGAGACAAAGGAAACTATTTGCATGCAACTTTCTTTTGTAGCTTTGTGCTGCAGTCGGGTGCATTCCTTTTATGATGCCACGTGGCATGCCTGTGCAGTACCATCTTGTGATTCGAGATTATGCGTACTGCAAGGTTTTCTGCATACAAAAGCAGTAGTGCTGGTTTGATTTTAAGTAGGGTCCTTCACTTTTTAGTTTTATGTTTTAATATTAGAGCAGTAATATGGAGCATTAGGTTCAAGAAACTAAAGTGCAGCGCATGTTTTTGCTCTCTGGTACCCTTAAGTTTTGAAATGTTTCTCATTATTCTACATGATCTTTAATATGATATGTCTTGATCGCTTTTCTATGCTTCAAGAGAGGCAGCCTTCATCAATATCGTAGTGCCCATGTTAATTATCCTTTACATAAGAGCGAATCCTGGGGCACCACTGTTGGGCTTGACATCACCTTGTTTAAACTTATTCAGCATGTAAAACAGGGTATCACCCTGGTTTACCTGAAAACGAAAGGCCCTCTACTTTTGCCTGTATTGATGCGGTAGACATGCATGTAATTAAGTTCTTATTCATAAGGATGGTATGGTGGGCTGGTTGGTGATGCATCATGAAAGGCTACAGTGCCCTTGTAAGTGGAGACGAAGGAAGGACACAGATCTTAGCGCTTTGTCTTGTGTGTGTGTTCTTTGCCCCCATCTACATGTACGCTGTAGCTTTTCATAAGTTCCGATTAATGTGTCCTGCTTTTGGAATCGTTCCTTGCAGGCTAAAAAAATGTTTGTCTTACTATTACTCCTCATTGAGTGTCTTGTAACATATTCATGGATCAGAAAAAAAAAATGGTCAACTTAGTTTTTTTTTTTGTGGTTTCACATACAATTCGAGGCTTGTTTCCATGTTTTTCTTATTTCATGGCTCAAGATTGCTTAGCTACACAACAAATATGCTTACACATAATTTTTTAAACGTGACAAACGTGTTGTTTTGCAACATAGACTGATGAGATTGTCTTGCTGGATTTTGTTACAAGTGTCATTCACGTTTTTTTGATGACGCACCATTGCTGTCTCTTGGAGACTGACCTGCAAAAGTGAAGAGTTGCAAAATAGGTGTACAATGAAATATTGGAGTCAAATGAATTAGTCACTGTGATGGTAAAATGTGGGCCCAGGATCCGAAATAATTCAAACGGCCGTCGGGTGATTTTGTACACACAACACAGACACATGCGACAGCTCTGACAATTCGGGTACAATTATAACACCCTATTTACAATTCTACACGTCCTACGCCCTTTGGCACACAAACTGTCCTACTCGGCGTTCTGCAACGTTGCCGCTGTGGCGAGGTCGGTCGTCACCGTTGTTCCTTGTGCCGTCATGGTCGCGCTGCCGTGACTGTGGCGAGGCGGTGGGACCGCAGGCCGATAGATCACCAGGCTGCTGCAGTGCAGGTTAGCTGCCCATCGCCAGCACGAGCCGTGGCCACCCTGTGACACCACTCGCACCCCAGGACCTCAGGACAGGTACAGGCTGGGCTTCTGGTCCCCAAGTCAGCACCGGACGCAGAGCTGGAATCGGGCTCACCAGGCGGCAGGACCTTTAAGTTAAAGGCTTATGGTTTTACGAACACAAAGTAACTTTGATCTGAATATATATATATATATATAATGAGATCTAACAGACAGTAATGCCAAGGAATGTACAGGGGAAGTTATTAGAACCAATGGAATGTAAATAAGAAGAAAGAAAAGTGGGTGAAAAATAACCAGCCGTGAGCAGGAATCAAGCCTACGACCCTGTACATTCCTTGGCATACTGTCTGTTAGATCTCATTAATATTGTGTCAAAACACCTGAAAAACAAGCCCTTAGGTATATTCTTTCCCTTATATATATATATATCTATATATATATATATTATATATATATATAGTAGTAGAATAAGAAAAGCCAATAACGGAAAAATGAATATATCTGAGCAAGGATGCAGGCTATCAGAATCAGATGTGATTTAAGACAGAGGTAGTGATGAGTCCAAAACGAATGATACAAGTAAAAAAAATGCACACTAACATGGCAATCGCTTTGTTTGAAATATGTAGTCAAATCACATCTAGACTTGGAAGAATGTAAGCCATTGTGTGGCTGACTAAATGTATAAATTCTGCAAAACATTTGCAGAGGCGAAGGACAACCAGGGCGTTGCGGAAGTTTAACAGAGGAGGACCATTGGTGCATTTTCTAAATAGTGTAAATATTATGGAATGTGTGAATAAATTTCATTCTTTCATATTTTTTTTTCTCTACCATTGTTTTATCTTGTATGTGCATGCATTTGAGTGTGCATTAATGTCACATTCACACTAGGTAATCCAGCCTGTGCTGTTTCCACTGTGTTGTGAAATTGCAATTAATGAAGTGCAGTGTGATGACAGCCAGCCTTCTACAGGATTGTCATTTTCTACTTGCATCCGCAGAAATGTGATAATCATGTTATAGGTCAGCCAAGAGACTGCAATTACTACACTACTACTTAGCTTCAGTTGGCTCTCTCTGTATACCAACCACTGGCTGGCTGAAATGCAGTTAGCAATTTAGCGTCAACCAAGTGCTTACCAGAAACTAATGGCCAGCCATATTAAATTGGCTTACCAGGTAGAATGGTGACTGGCTAAACACCAGCTTTTGTCACTGGGCCAATCATCTGGATACATGCAGTGCAGCTTGGTCGAAGACCAGAGAGTCACAACGCAGACGAGCGCTTGTCTGTGTTCTTTGTCTAAGTTCGCGCTGCATGTATCCAAGTATGTATCAACTAGCCCAACTCAACCTTTTATTGAAACATATGGAATCATTGGAGTCTCAATTACCATCAAAGTGCTGACCATTTGCAACAATGTGGGAAGTCATGTGGTTACCAGCCACATTGAATTTGCTTACCAACTAGAATGAATTGGGGGGCTGTTTGGAATGCCAGTTACGATCAGTGGGCCAAACATCTGGAACCACAGGATTACCAGTTAGCTTCAACGGGTTAGTCTACTGAGACCTGCCGGGCAACCACGTGCCTACCATTAATTTTCAATGGGTTGACCATTTCAGGTCAACGGGTTTTCTATTCACCACCAGTTGGCTTCAACAGGTCAGCCTATTCACACCAAGTGGACAACCACCAGTATACCATTTAGTATAAATGGGTTGACCATTTTAGGTCAATGGGGTTTCCTATTGACCACCAGTTAGCTTCAACAGGTCAGCCAATTCACACCAGGTGGACAACCACCTGCATACCATTTAGTATTAATGGGTTGACCATTTGAGGTCAATGGGGTTTCCAATTGACCACCAGTTAGCTTCAACAGGTCAGCCAATTCACACCAGGTGGACAACCACCTGCGTACCATTTAGTCTTAATGGGTTGACCATTTGAAATCAACGGGATATTAATTGACCACCAGTTAGATTCAACGGGTTAGCCAATTCACACCAATTGGACAACCACCAGCGTACCATTTCGTTTCATGGGCTGGCCATGTGAGGCCAAGGGGCTACCAGTTTGTCACCAACCAATTTCAAATGGTGCGCACCATTGCAACTAACTGGCAATTGCTCAGCACCAGCCACACTTAACTGGTAGCCAATGGGGTCCCCTGTTGAACCAGTTGCATTGAAGTGGTGAGCCACTTGGATCCCCCTTTGGAATATAAGGGTTTACCCATTGATTCGAACGGGATAATGTTCAATGGGTGGCGAAAATCCTACTGGTCCAACACCCATTGATTTTAAATGGAAATTTTCCAGTTGGACCCATTGAATATTTTTGACTGGGAGTACAATAGCAAATAATTCTGCTATGAATATCGGTGTGTAATCTGGAAGCCTAACCGAAAAGGACCAGTCAAGGGAATGCGAGAAGATACCTACCACAGCCTTTTCATTCTATACGGATGCATCGGTCGCAATTACGTTGTTCTCATTCACGTGTGCCAAGTTATCTTGCAGCCGATGACTTAAATATTGGAATGGCATTTGTTTCGCGTTAGAGGAGTAAATATTCTCAAATTATGTTTGAAAATTTGAATTGAAGGTACGTACTTGTTGAGAAAATATGTTTGATTTTGATGTTCAGTGGTTCCAGCAGCACTTGAACAAACATGATCTGTGGGGAGTAAAATTGCGACCACTGAGTTTCAAAAAATGAGCTTCGCTTTTTAATAAAAGCGTGAAACGATTCTCTCTAGGGAGAAGTGTATAGTTTTAAAAATGTTTGGATAGTAAGTATTTTGCATCTATATAACAATGAAGAGAGATGCACTTCCATGTAAAACGCATTGCTAGCAACACTTGGGCAGTCTAAGGCACAATCGTAAAGCTTCCCTTTCTAACAGTATTAGCGGTCTCATTTCGCACTCAAGTCCCACTCCCAGAAAATAGCGCACAGCCGAATTGCATGATATGACGCATGTACATATTACAGATCATTACCAATGTATTCCTTCGGAACCCTGTTTTTCTAATGCTGAGATTGCGTAACCACCCCATGGCTCGTGTTGCATTGCACCCAATTCGTTCAATGTGAATCCTCCAATTTTTCTTGCTGGAAAAACGTGGGGTGCATCGGTACGAGCAATGCTCCAACTCTACACTGTTCTGTTCCTCGGTTATATGCGTACAGCTTACCCGTGCTTGCGGGATCCGAAGAACAAACTTGCGCGTCCTCCAGTCGATCCAAGCCCAAGCACTGAGAATATGCCTTGGTCTCCCGAGATGCGCGTCTACAGCAGCGACAGTCATCATGATTATCCAGTCAACGCATACATCCGCGTAGACGCTTTGAGAATGCACATGAGACATTTCGCTCGGCTTCCATCTCATCACCTCGCCTCACTTCGAACTTCCAGGCCCCACTCAGCGTTCAGCGCAACTGTAGCTCAGCATTGCGCAGTGCTTCCATTGCACTTCACGCATGCAGCACAGCTGCCGATACCATTATGGTGCCTACACCCAAAAAGCCCTTCTTACAATTTCTGGCATCTAAAATAAGAAAAAGTCCTCGCATCTAGCCCTGAAACAGGCCACATTACTCTTCCTGCAAGAGAAGCACAACGGACGCCTTCACATTTACACGGATGGCTCGGTGTCTTCAGTAAGCTCTGCAGGGGTGGTGGTTATTCCCGCGAGGCACATCACAATTAAATTCATGACATCGCATTTGACGTCGTCGACAGCTGCAGAACTCGCCGCCATACGTGCAGCTCTGGAGTTTATAGTGAAAGAACCTTCGGGAATTTGGTCTATCTTCTCGGACTCGAAGGCATCTCTTCAATGTCTTATGTCACCCTTTCGCCATGGACATAATGAACAGTTAGTTGCTGAAATAAGGCTTCTTCATCACCAAGCAATCGAAAAACAGCACAGCATAGTGTATCAGTAAATACCAGGTCATTGCGGTATATATGGCAATGACCGCGCAGATGAGGCCGCTAGATCTGCACACGATGGTACCCAATACACAGCCATCCCGTTCTCAAGAACCGACGCAGCTACAAGACTTCGTTCGCTTGCACGTGACCTCACACTGGTACAGTGGAACTCAACAGACTTCACAAACGCGCGCCTGCATAACTTGGATCCCGATCTGCAACTTGGTCTTCCCCCAAGGCTATCTCGAGCTGAGGAGACTCTTCTATGCCGCCTGTGGCTTGGAGTGTCCTTCACGAACGCATACTTTTATCTCATTGGGATGGCCAGCTCTCCTACATGCACTTACTGCAGTTGCGAAGTTACTGCATCGCGCACCTTCTGTGTGAGTGCACCCATTTCAACGCGCAAAGACAAGAACTCACTGCAGCTCTGGATAGACTAGACGATCGGCCTTTGTCGGAACAAGGAATTCTGGGTCATTGGACGAACCCATCCTCAGCCCAGAAGGCTTTTAAAGCTTTGCTGCGCTTTTTGCGGACAACTGGCCTCAGAGACAGACTTTAGTGTCTTATACTCTTTGATGTTGCCTTTCCTCTGTCGCAATTTTTTTTGTAATTTCTCTCTCTCTTCGCAACATTTCTTTTTAACATCTTTCATACCCCTTTCCCCAGCGCAGGGTAGCCAGCCGGTCTAAGAACTGGCTAACCTCCCTGTCTTTCCGCTTAAACTTTCTTCCTCTTCCTCCTCCAATTTAACGAGCTGTT